CAGATTTCTTGTTATAATTTGCACCACTGTACAAATTCCATTTAAATGTCAAATATCACACTTGTGAATTCTTTTACATCCACCTTCTTGAAAAAAATACACCTAACATGTGTTAAAGCTTTATTTACAAAATTACACAACATTTACTACAAACTAACTTTGATGTAACGTCGCTAAATAATCTAGCGCCTTTTGAATAGCCGGTGGCACGGGCGGCGGCGTAGGTAAATGTTCACCTTGTGGATGAAACCCATTTTCATCGGCAACATAAGCAAGCCTTATAACTTGGCCTTCCGGTGAAGTAAACTGGTACTGGCCCTGTATCACTGGAGAACCGTCTTTTATAAAACCTTGTTCTTCCGCAAATATTTGATTATCCGTCTCGTAAGCGTAGTTGTATGACCCATCGGGGTTAACCTCATTTATTTCCCGTACGATTTTAGCATCCTTATCGCTGATTTGAGACAGCGAGAAAGCGAACAACGACAAGAGTATCTAAAACAAACGCATGTACAGACAGTGTTTGGTGTTATAGCACAAATTAACACACTTCTTACAGGATGTTAACTTTTTGTGTTAACTTTAATAGTTGCTGCATTTTATCATTCTTACACTGCAACTCTTCCGTACACAAACCCATTACCAGTTAAACGTTAACCAGTTAAACCTAAGTATTAAGAAAACTGACGGATACTTATTTAGTATTAAGTACTTACGATTACTTTCATATTTGCATAAACTTAAGACTGCTGTGTTCTGACTGAACATCACTCACTTTCATTCTTTTATAAGAGTCATCCCATGCATAAGAATTTTGTTTATATAAAATATCAGTGTGTTGAAAACAGCAGGCATTTCTCCCACGAAAGTGATAGTAAAAAAAATTGCCAAATATATGTTAATAATAAGGGGGGTAGTAGATATGAGTTAGTCGAGTTAATAAATTCAAGAACTGTCATCGTCGCATAAGTGAAAAACACACCAGCTTCCTGTTTCTTCTTAAAGAATGCACTGAGCACTCTAGAGTAAACCCGGAAGGATTACATATCATATACCGAATGTTCCAATTTTTATTTAATAAAGCGATAAAACCTAAATTTATTGACATGTTGTGCAGTTATACTCGTATATCAGTTGCACTGAAAGTGTTGCAGTGGGAACAACGCCCAGGCAGGTGCCTCTTTATTGTAAATAAATTATGTTCATTTCGTTCTGCAATACTAAAATTACTTGCCACCTTTTCTATAATGTCATCTATGTCTTTTATATAATTTCGTAGTGCTATTTTGTTTTGAATGTAATTGTGTAATTTTTTAAAAATATTTCAAATATAAATTGTTATTACAACATGATTTTGATAATATTGATTACTGAAAAATGTACCACAGGTTGTGTTTTATATATAAGTGCGTTATCTTATTAATTATCATTAAAAATAACAGTAGATAAGGCCAATTTTGAGCAACAAAAGGTAAAACTTTTTTTATCTCTACATATTGCAAATGACCTAATTAACCTCTTCTTAGTTTAGACTTCATTATAAATAGTATCAATAGGTACTTGTACTTTCGTATTTTCAGATAGAACACCCTGTATTTTGTTATTCAATCTTACTTTGGTTTCTACTGTCCTTCTCTAGATATTTGTTGAACATGTTAAAAAAAATTAAAACTACAGATACCATCAATTTTCTTCATAGAAAGCACTTAATAAAACAGAAGGCGAAGAAAAGAAAGTCGGGTTTGCGATATCGCAAGTGGAAGATGCGATGACAGTTGTTGGGATCCGTGATTGCAAGTACTATCATCGCATCCACCATGGCAACGGGGACTTGCGATATCGCAAATTCAACTTGAAATTGGCCTGTGAGACGCAGTAAAACACAGGGAGTTTAAATAAAAGAAAAAAAGTATGTTTTAGGATTTTTTAAAAAGACTATGCATACTAATGATCAGTTTCGAACAATGATGCCAAAAATAGTCTTATTGCTATTGTGATCGTAAACCTTTACTTTGTTAAGAATTTTCAAAAAAAAAAATGAGTAACTTAACAACTTCGTATTGCAGAATCCAACACAAGGGCAGTTAGGGAATCTGAAAATATATGGGGTGTTCTATTAAAAAAAAAAAAACTAAACTCCATATTAAGCCTAAAAAACAAAATATTCTGTAAAGTTGCAAAGATTTTTAGGTTATGCAAGTCTTACAAATTTGATCGCTGATTTGACAGAGATCGAGAAGCTTGACTCACCCTGTATAAGTTAATGAATGATTTCTTGAATTTAGCAAACGTTCTCTGTCTAATTAAAATCAACGTTTTCAGTGCTAAATAAAAAGTCCGGATATTTTTTACTTCCCAAGCATAAGTTAAGGAAGTATTGTAATCGACTCCATCGGGCGATCAGCTACTTTTATGTTTATCTCGACGACTTCTAGGGTACGAAAAGTAGATTTCCCGTTTCAGTCCAGCTGTCATCTGTCTATCTGTATCGATTTTTATTAGACAGATAATAATCTTCGAAACTACTGGACCAATTGTATCAAGTTTTATATATATTTTAGGTACAGCATTGTAAAATGCTAACCAAAATTTGGCTGCTCATTCCCATCAACAACGGAATGCCCATCAAATTTTTGGAAGAAAAATCAGAATTATACAACAACATTTTCCAGTTTAACTTTGAAACTGCAAAAGTAAATGCTCTGAAATCTTCCAAACATCTTAAGGCAAATCGTTAATCAAAATTTAATCGTTTATTACCTCTCAAAAAATTGATGACGTCGTCTCAAAATTTTGCCAAATATATCCTATCCAAAATATTATAATATACTATTTATCAATTCATTCAGATTTTTTAGAATTACTTATAGAGAGTGAAATGAAATCAAGAACGGCTCACCCCATTTTCTCAAAATTTGAATTTACAGTAAGTACTGTTGTTATTAGTACGACACTGCATCTGCTCAAACTGTTATATATGTTTTGCTAAAATGTTGATGACGTCATCACAAAAAATCGCACTTGAAACATACGCATAGCATGCTTCTTCACCTGTACTTTAACAGTCCGCACATGTCTTTTTAACTTAAAATAATCGTACAATCTGTATTTATTCGCTTTTCTGTCTCAATAACTTTAGACCAATTTTTATCATTTATGAGATACAATTATGAATTAAACACCGTCCATCAAGCGAATAGCTACTTTGATGTTTTCTCGAAGTTTCATGACCCATAAAATATGAAAAAATAGTTTTCCCGTTTCCGCCTGTCTGTCTGTTGTTTGTGTCGATTTTTGTTAGACAGATAATCGTCGCCGAAACTACCGCACAGATTGTTGTCTATGTTAGGAATATCGTGTAGACGGTAAAACGCTTACCAAAAGCACGGTAACTCAGTATGTTTCTCCCCCACCATGTGTATAAATAGGCAGTAACCAAATTCATCCCATCAAACGAGTTTCGCCTCTGGTATGGTTGACATACTGAGTTACCGTGCTCTTTTGCCTTATTCTTAACCCTACTCCTGAAGATGCGACTTACGAAAATGTGAGAAACGTTGAGCCCAAAAACTCAATTTATACGGTTCCAACCCGGAAAACGATCATGTATTGATTCCGACCGTGAAGGCCTCCGAAATTATCGTCTGTTCTTTAATGATTTAGAAGTATGACTTAGGTACCTGCTAACTTCAATTATCATGTTATCGAAAAAAAATCCTCTAGTAGGCTGTGAAATTTATTTTTGAAATAACGACGTTGGCACTGCTGGTTCTTGACTCCTTATTTGGTAGTTATTTGACGTAGATGTCAAACCAAGTAAGGAACGGGTTGGCGTTGCCAACATCATTGTTTTAATAATAAATTTCATGGCCTACTACAGAACTTGATCATATGGTAATATTTTGTTGGTAAAATGATCAAAGTTTTGGGTGTAATTTCTCACATAACAAGGTTGTAGCACAATTTTGGTCTTCTACTGCCTCTTGAAAGAAAAAAAACATTTTACACTTTTTCAAAGTAGGTAATTTTATTTAACATTCGATCTACCGCCAGTTTTGCTTATAGCAAAATGTCGAAATGTTGTTTTAAATTCATTGAGAAAGTAAAAAATTCAACAACGTTTCGAAATTGTGAAAGTGAGCAAGATAAAAAAGAACTAAAGAAAGAGAGACAGAAGGAAGGTCTAATTTTTATAAAATGTGGAACTAAAGTTAGCTTTTAACTTGAAACATGATTTAAAAACCAATATATTTTGTAAAATTATTAGTAAGTCCATTTTAGTACGCCAATACAACAAGAAAAAAAAGTATTTTGAAGCATCCGGAGAGAGTTGTTGTAATTTTTATAAACATTTCAACTTTTAATACGAAAAGTCAGAGGTGATCCCTTAGAGGCGGTTACCAATTATGATGTCAATCAAACATCTTCACCTTGTATCAAAATGTTGTTGAAACACAGTCCGCTACTACTATTTTTTAAACCGGAAAAAATAGGGAGATTAACATATACTTAAAATAATTATGATGCTCGTTTTACTTCAGAGCCAATTACATATAACAGCGTAGTAATCCAGTATTCCTGCAAATTTGTCTTAAATAGAAATTTTCATAAAAGGTAGCCATTTATACTCAAATATGTAACAATAATCAATGAAAAACAGCAGGTACAGATATTTTATCGCAATAAAACCCCAAGTGATTTTTCACTTCACCAGAAAACCATTACTTTACACTTAACAAGCTGTTCCTTCTTTATGACTATATTACAGTTGCGCAGTAATGCACCTTGACACATCCGTGACCTGTGAGATAATGAAAAAACTGTCACTACGATGATCTCAACCTCTGAAATTTTATTAAAATTTACACCCATTATTTTTTTCACCATGGATTGACATTTTCGTAAAACCAGATTTAAAAGACATAATATCTTTAAAGATAATAGTAATCTCTTAATACCAATAAATTTCCCAACCATTAGGCATAAAAAATTCATAAACATAAATTCTTTATTAATTTATTTTACAAAAGTAGAAATACATAATTTAATACTCTAAAATTTTTGTTAAATCACCTATATCACAGTTACGTCTTCATCTCAATATTCATCTTTTTGTGGCGGTAAGGTAGCTAAATAAGCTAGCGCTTTTTGTATTTCTGGTGGGATAGGCGGCGGTGTTGGTAAATGATCTCCTTGGGGCCGAAAACCATTTTCGTCGGCTGTATAAACCAACCTAATAACTTGTCCTTCAGGGGAGTGATACTGAAATTGTCCTTGAACAGCCTGCGTTTCGGCGTCTTTCGGATACCCCTGCTGATCTTCATAAATACCGTTGCCTGTTTCGTACAAGTAACTGTGTGTACCATCAGGGTTTACCTCCGATTCGTGTCTTACGATGGGCACATTTTCGTGACTATTCTGAGGCGATGCTCCAATTAAGGAACAAATTGACAATAAAGTGACCTAAAAAACAAAGATATTTGCCTGATTTTAGAAATTTGTTACTTACTGTTATTGTTTTCATTGTAGTGTGAGTTCTGAACGAGCTATGACACCAAAATTTAAATTCAATATATATATTGGGCAGATGGACCAATAAAACCCCCTCTTTGAGTAAAATTGGGTGAGGTGGATGTTATGTAAAATATAGTTGCATGGTTTTATTGTGTCATTCAATATTCTTTAATTTATGTATAGTTTAGTTAGCTGTAAAGGAATAATTCTCATGATTAGGAGGCTCATGTGAGACTTTCTACACGCTAAATTGTACCAAATTTATAAATTATCCCATAACGACTTATATAATTGTACAACGTTATAAATGGGAACGGTTGAAAAATTCACGCGACACATCTAAGCGATTCACTGAAAGTGCGAACCATAATAGTGTTTTGCTCCTACCTAATAAAGCAATAAAGAGAAAAAGCTAATATTAGTAAAGTATTACCTTAATTAATGAAGTGCACGTCTCTTCTTCATTCCATTTTAAACAGTCTCGATTGCTAAACCTGTTTCTTTGTACAAGTTTACCGATTTTTTATAAAGTGCGACTATAACGTGTTATTTTTTCTTGAATTTTCTAGTCTCTTCCATATGCATACGTCCTACATCTTGGAAACCTTACGCCTTACGTAAGCTCATGATGTAATTGAGAATATCATCTCCAAAAACAATAATTTTTAGTTGTATCACTAGTATACAAATTTAAATGACTGCAGTAAAATGCACAATAACGGTAGGTTTACGACTGCATATTTTTAACGCACTTTTGTTTCGTTGTGTACTAACAAACCAAACACGTGTAACATAACGAAGTCAATCTGTTGCAACAGATTCCCGGTTTCGTCATTATTGATTCTTTCTTTGTTAGAAAGACGCTTGTAAATATGTATTTGTTCTTTTAAACGGTTTGTTCTCACAAGAAATTTTGTTACTGGAGTTGAACGCAATGTTTCCTCTGGAGGTACTTTACACTGCTGGTTGATCTGTTTGAGCGATGTGTTAGCATAAGTTTATGAAAAGTACAAGATCGATCTCTCTTGTGGATTCTTGAGAAACTGCATTATACATCCTGTACAACGAAAGTAAAATTTGTTTAAATATGATGATTCAGTACGAGTGTATCGACATTTACACAAATATTTTGAAAATATTTATGTTTTTTTTTAATTTCCAGAAAAAACAACGCTTTGCTCAATTAAAATATGGTATGGGTTTCAATTCTGTGTGAATTTGCATTGTAAAATAAATTAAATTAACTCACTTTCATTTAACACTTAATTTTATTTATTTAACATTACCTACATTTTCATGTATGTATTGCAATAACAAAAAAAATGGTCTAAAACCACTCTGAATTAAAATAAAGGTAGCTGCAGATTGTCAACTACAGGTTTCCTTAAAAAATTATAAATTTTGTTTTTGCGAATTTTATTTTAGAATTAGATTGGGTTATATTTAGATTTTAAGTAGGACTTATTCCGTAGAACTTTAAGATGATTATCAGTTTTTTGTGGGAAATAAGCAAACACATTTTTTTTTCTAAAATCTGGATGCTAGGGTAAAAGAATCACGACGGATCCATAAACTACACGTACAGGAGTATGTTGTTATATAAAATTTACCATGCAAAATTTCGAGGTAATGTCTACGCGATATTCCCAAAATTATATAAAACTTCACAACAATCAGTTCCTTAGTTTTGGATGATATTTCTAAAAAGATTGCCAACAGACCGCAGACGACACCTACTAAAAGGGAAGACCTATTTTTTATAATTCAAAGATCATGAAACGTCTAGAAAACCTAAAATTATCCGTTAATTAGATGGACACTATTACAATACTTTCCTAGCTTACGGTCGGCAAACATATCGTTCTCTTACATAGATTTTTACCTCCCGAGCGTAAGCGAAGGAAGTATTGTAATCGAGTTCTTCGGCTGACTCTCTACTTTTACGTTTTGTCGATCTTTCATGACCCCTAGAGTACGAAGAAATAGGTCTCCCGTTCCCGTCTGTCTGTTTGTCTGTCTGTCTGTCCGTCTGTCCGTCTGTCTGCCGTCCTGATTAAACAAATAATCTCCGAAAGTATTGGGCCGATTGTTCTAAAATTTTGTATTTATATTTATTAGAAATATCATGTAGATGGTAAAACGTTAACAAAATTTGTCTAATCCACCCCACAAATAATGCGATGACGTCACTTCAAAATTGTACATAGAAAACGGGTTTCACATTGTATAAAATAACATATGTAGTTTATGCCTCCGCATGGAATTTTTACCCAAGACGTCGAGATTTTTGAAAAAAAATCTAAATTATAAAACAACATTTTGCATAAATTATATCTAAAATGCCCAAAAAATGCTCAGTGTGTGATTTGTCACTGCATTCATATTTTTAAATTTGCATAAACAGGGTGACTGAGTTGTTAAAAAATAAATATCCAATCATTTTTATGTATTTAACTCGTTACTATGGAATCATGCACTTCAACACCTTTTAAATTTAACAAGTCTTTACAAATTTAATAAGAGCAAAATTAGTCTTATCTTAGCTAGTGCTAGCCCCGCCCACCCGCCCCCTATTTTCTCAAAATTTATGTCATTTGCCAAAATAAGTTTTACCTTTGCAAGTACTAGCCCCACGCACCCGCCCTTTATTTTCTCAGAGAATATGTCATTTGCCAAAACAAGACTTATCTTACCAAGTACTAGCAAGTACTACCGTCTGAGAAAATAAAGGGGGGGGTGGGCGGGGCTAGTACTCGCTAACATAAGTCTGTGAAAACAGGGGTGGGCGGGCGGAGCTAGCACTTGCTCAGATACGACCAATTTTGGTAAATGACATACTCTCTAAGAAAGTAAAAGATGTGTGGGCAGGGCTAGTACCTGCTAAGATAAGACTTATTTCGGCAAATGACATATCCTCTGAAAAAATAGGGGGCGGGTGGGCGGGTTTTCTACTATTTGTTAACATAAAACAGATGTTGCCCCTATTAATCTTGTAAAAACTTGTGAAATTTAAAGGCGTTAAACTGTAAATTTCCATAGTAACGAGTTAAATTCCTAAATCTACCCGAAATGTGCAAAATATGAGTTTTACTTGTGATTTATCATTGCATTCATATTTTTTAAATTTGCTAATACAGGTGGCTTAAAAATCTAAAAATGTTTATGACGTCATCACAAAATTCTGTAAAGTATGAGATCAAGTCAAAAATGCTGATTATATTTCACTGTACTTTAGGCGAAAATTTCACAAACTCAGATTTTATAATTTTCAAATAAGCAAGCAAAATTTGGTGGGGGGTACTTCCGGGACGAGGAAAGTTCTGTCGAAACAGCTTTCAACCAATTTTTTTTTCCTAGTATTTTATGTTATAACGAAATAATCAAATTGAAACTCACATAATTCTGGTAAACTTTTTGCGATATTTCCAAGTTACCGTAACTAACAAAAGTAATAGGAGACTAATTAATGTATTTCTGGATCTCTGTTCCTTTTTACTTCCCGAGTGTAAGCTAAAGAACTATTGTAATAGTTCTATTCGGTGATTGCTACTTTCACGTGTTTTCGATATTTTATGACTACTAGAGTATGAAAAAATACGTCTCCCGTTTCCGTTTGTCTGTCTGTTGTCTGTGTTCTGTCATCTGTGTCGATATTTATTAGAGAGAAAATCTCTGCAACTACCAAACCGAGTGGTGTTAATTTTTTTTAGGCACAGTGTGGATGATAAAACGCTAAAAAAACTTGTTTTATCATCCCCAACAATAATTTGATGACACCACCTTTAAATTTCGCATGGTGAATTGTGAATGTACTGTGGTTTATGAATCCGCCTTAACCTTTTACCCTAAGCATCCAGATTTTCTCAAAGAAATCCTTGTTAAGCAATTTGTATATCTAAAGTTGATACTAGTTTCTACAGTTTTTAACTGTAAATACACGACAATATCGAATGAAGATATAAAATACAGTAGTTTCGGTTAAATGACTTTATTTATTTTCCAAGCATAAGCCGTTCGACGAATGATTACTTTCAGGTTTTCTCGACATTTTATGACCCCTAGAGTACGAAGATCTGGTAAAACGCTAACCAAAATTTGTCTAAAGATCCCCACCAAGTTAATGACGTTTTCTCAAACTCTTTCATTCTAAGTAGGATTGAAATTTTATAAAATAACATATTCATTCCTACACTTATGGTTTATGAACCCGCCTTAAGGTTCTCCGCACAAGGATACAGTGGGCGCCTCAAAACTTCTCAAAAACAAATTTTATAATAATTTTTCAAAGAAGCGGAATTTTTTGGCCTGTACTTCAAGGACGAAGAAAGTTCTGACGAAATAACCTTTGACCAATTTTTAAATTTCTGTTCTAGTTTTCGTTGACCATTACGGCAGCAAATTACGTAATTCGTCTGTCAGAACAAACACCTTTTGTTGTATTATATTTGTTTTTATAAGACTCTAGATTTTTTTGTATTTCACGAGAGAAGGAAGTTATGTCTAAAAAAATTTTTATTTCTCGGTTCGAGGCTAAGGAAATATTGTAATAGGGTCCATCTACGGCTGCTTACTTTCATGTTTTATCGACGTCTCATGACCCAAGAGTACGTACTTCTGTCATCCCACGTTTGTCTGTCTGTCTGTCTGTCATCTGCATCGATTTTTATTAGACAGATAATCTCCTAAAGTACTACACCGTTTGTTGTCAAATTTTGTATGTATATTCGGAAAATCAAACAGATGGTAAAGCGTTAACCAAAATGTGGCTCATCTTCCCCACCATTAATTTGATGACATCATCTCAAATACTTCTACATTAAAATTATTTAAATATTATACAATAATACACTGCTACACTGTGGCCTATGAATTCGCTTTGAGTTCTTTCCTTGGTTATTAAAATTTCAACAAGAAAATGTACGAACAACGACGACCAAGGTTGTACAACGTGAAAACTGACCTTTTCTTTTTTCTTTTTTTTTTTTTTTCTCTTACATTGTTACAAATATCATTTATATTGTTTTTACTAATGTATAGAGCTTATCATAAAAAAAGGAAATTTCGCAAAATCAGATTTTATAATTTTCAAATAAGCAAGCAACATTTGGTGGAGGGTACTTCCGGGATAAGGGAAGTTCTGTCGAAATAACTTTAGAGCATTTTTTTTATTATAGTTTTCTCTTTTTATTATTAAATATATATATAAACGATTTTTTTTAATTTTGATATGTTTTATAACTAAATTAAATAACTAAAGCTCGTTAATTATTATTATTGTTTCTGATACCTAAAATCTATAACACAGAAAGAATTTGATAATGATATAGACCACAAAATGTAGCCAAATCCACTGGAATAATTTGAGCTATGAATACTACTTCGAATAAATATTAGTGTTAACACTTTGATACAAAAATATCACAGTTACAACCCCTTACAATTAATTTTTGATACTTCATTTTTGCCTATAATATTTAACCTGTATTAACTATTCTTTCAGAAAATACGAGAAGTGATTTAACCTTTCTGTTGGTATTAATTTTTCTTTCTTGATTCCACTCCTGGGAATTTTACGCTTTGCACTGCATACACGTTTTAATGAAAAATATATTTTGAGGTGTTATCAAATTATATTGATAGCAACATTAATTTTGAAGCCATTTTTGAGACATCCGTGCAAATAGCTTGGTAACATATTAAAGAAACACAAAATTATTTCTAACTTTTATTTAATAATTTTTTAAGAGCACGAATCCGTACGTAATCCATAGTAATTAATTTTCTCACAAGCCAAAAATAACACTCATTTTTTGACATCACCGATTTCTAAATATTAATTTCAAGTGAGACCTTACATGGTTTATGTAACTCAGTTATGAATTCTATTCTGGAACTCATTGTTGGTGAAAGCACAACTTATTGACTTTACTACTTACCAACGTCTGAGACTTGAATTAAATCTTATTTGCATTAAAAATGAAACAAAATCGTATAAAAACCTAATTCTAACTTAATTTGATGATAATAACAACTAATTTTGATAAATTTTATTACTACCTTGCTAATTGGATCTCAAAATATCACAGGTTTTTAAAACAACATAATTAAGCCAGTGATAAGTATCTTTCCGCATAAAGACACTTTAATTAAGTTCTTGATTACTCATATATTTATCAGTGTTTTTTTCACAGCGCCTATAATAAGTAAGGTCTTTAAATATGAAACATAAAACGAAACTTGGCACTTAATTTGTAGGTCATTTACAACAGAACGTTGGCAAATCTTGTCACAAAGACTAACATATCAATAAAATCTTCTAAGAACCAGACTTAAGTTATGCGACAACACGTTGTAATTTCATTGCTTAAGTAGGATGATGCACTCATTTTCTCATTTCAAGGTAAAAATAAACACTTTGTTCCAACACATATTTTTATTGGATTTTTGGCACAAGAGCTGCATTAACAACGGCATTCTTTCCTTGTGCGTTCATAAAAAAGACGTTAAATACAATCAGTAATACTTAATACATTTCATACATTCACGTATAAAAAATGGCAAAGATAGGTATGACAAAGTCGAACAACGAAGATACCCGAACATCATGCACTGCGATCAAATAACAAACAACTGAAAATCCTATCTCCTAGTGGGCTCCGGGGTGGAAGGCAGAGTGGCCAAATATTCAAGCGCCTTCTGAATAGCCGCAGGAATAGGTGGAGGAGTAGGCAAATGTTCACCTTGAGGCTGGAAACCGTTCTCATCGGCGATGTAGGACAATTGGATCACTTGGCCTTCAGGAGACGTGTAAGTGAACTGTCCTTGGGCAACTTGGGCTTCCTGCTCCGGCTGACCAGCATTCTTCAGGAATCCTTGTTCTTCAGCGGTGATGCTGTTTCCAGTCTCGTAGCTGAAATTGAGTCGTTATTCGCGTTTTCGTCAAAGAATCGTATTTCCTGACCTGTATTTGTAGGAACCGTCGAAATTCACTTCTTGTTCTTGCCTAAGAATTGGAATTGGTTCGGTTGCAGGACCTTGTGGGGCGGCTACTACGGCGGCGACCAAAGCGACGAGAACGATCTGAAATTGGTTCCCACGGTAATTAATAATGAGGATTTCCTGAGAATATTTTAACTAATGACCTCTGACACGTTTGATATAAGCGCAAACTCAAATTTCATGACTCTTTTATTGCAAGTATTACACACGATTTTGTCACGTTAGGAATAAAGTGTCGTCACAAGTATTGTTGTTCGTTGTGACATTTTCTCTGTCATTAGTATCAATGGATGCAATTATGAGAGGTTTCACATTTTGCAAAGTACTGAAGGTGATTTAAGTACAATGGATTGGAACGCAATAAACACGAAATCTAAAATAAATGTGTTAATGAGGAAGATTTGTTTTTTATAAAACGGATTTTTATGTTAAGAGCGCGACTTCTTGAATCGTAAATGAAACAGTAAGTATTAAATTCAATGTCAGTGGCTAAAAGTAAAGGTTATAATTTACATAATTATTATTTTGGTGTGCAAATTCGAATTAACACACGGTTGTATGATTTTACTGATAAAATAGAAGTTTGCGTCAACATTTTAATCATAATTCAGATTGAGTAGTACCTACGTACATTTTTGGCTGAAACATTAATTCATAATTCATGACATTTTTTACTTAAAAAATTTTGGAGGCCGTTTTTACAGTTTTCGTTGCTATTTATTAACTTTATTGGCTCTATATGTTGCATTCTATTGTTTTTTTATTATTACATAATTTTTCCAGAAAATATTTTTTTTTACTTTACACTTACGATACGTCAATTTTTTTTTAATTAAATTTTGTGTAAGCTCTACTTTCCATCGAAACTAACTAAATTGAAAACAACTATTCCAGAAGTGCTATGAAAAATTTGTAACTTTATGGTAAAATTTCATTCAACCCAATTCATAAGTAGACACTTACTAAAAAATATATCATTAAAAAATATCTTTTATTTTAAATGTTAGTTTGTCAATTTCTTCAGGAGTTGTCTTCTATAATAAAAATTAAAAAAAAAAATGTTTTATTTTGACTAATTTTGATTTTAGAAAACTTCCCTTTATAGTTTTTATAAATCAGAAAATAGAAACAAACTTTTGCATGTTACTATGTCAATTTTTTTACAACGTTTCAGTACGGAAGAAACAGGTTATTGTGGAGTATGTTCATGTATCCTTAGTACAATTTATTATGTGGGGTTTTTCGTCCAAGGTGACAACAATAATTCTCATTAATTTATTAACGTGTTAAATTTATTACGTTAATAAAACTACAAGTTACTAAAAAACCAAAAATTAATAAGCTCTCAGGAAGCTTTGACGCTCACTCAAACAGTGATAAATTAATAAATTAATTAAAAAGCATTTTTATCTATTTAAAATGAGGAGCAACCAAAAAAAATATTTAACATCAGTTTCTACAAAAATTTGTGTTTTTCCTGAGACAAATTAATACATATACAGATTTTTAATTTATTGACTCACAAATTGAAAATATATATATTTAGAACGAAATTATAGACTTAAATTTCAAATTTCACTGACTTGCGCAATAAAACACTATAAAAAAAGAAAATTTTGGACAAGTATGTAACTAAAAAATATGATATTAAATTTTATTACAAAAACACAGCACTTCGTTGCTGTACATAAATTTCACATAAACCGTATCGCGTAAAGACTGTCAAAATAATTTTTCGAAAAATTTGAAACAATTCGTGACGGTAAAAATAAATAAACCACTTTTTAACAATTTCCCGAAAAAATTAAGAATTCTAGACCGAAACAAAATTTGGATCACACAATACGTCACAAGTCACCACGAGTATGCCACTGTTAATACTTACAACCACTTTCATGTTTCTTTCTGTGGTTGATAATCTCAACACAATTAACTGATTACTATGTTCATTACGAGATAAATCCAATATTTATACCTTAAGATCTTTACGAATATTCCCCCACCTACGCCCTGGTCCTAACCAACCTACTCCCGTGGTGCTCATCTTCAATAAAGAATTTACCCCCCACCGCTTTTTAAGGTCATAAGTCGTACTTACCCAATTTCATTCTTGCAATTGTCGTTACTCGAAATAGCGACCTCGGCAGCCGTTTATGACTTTTCGGAAAAACGCTCTTCGGATAATCCGGGTTTTCAGTTGCGGTGAAAATCGAGGTGGGTCAATTACCAATGCTAAACATATAAAATAACTTCATTTTCTACTATTGGGCAACCACAGGCAAGAGTACATCTTCATTATATTCAAATAGTCATTGAACCTTGGTTGATGAAAAGCTTGGCCAAAAACTGTTGCATTCGGCAACTTTCCTAAATGTTCGCTCGATTTACAAGCTATTGTTAGTTATCGAAAAATGTATCGTTTAGAAAAATGTTTCACAATTATTCTTTCTCTTTCGTTACGAGTTTTGCTTGATGAAAGAGATATTGATAGTCCTGATAGCAGATTGAATAATAATGTGGCCATTACGTCACAAATCTGCAAAATCCGATGCGAAATGCACAAATTAAAGATAAGCATCGGGAACCATAATAGTCAAAGCTAGAAATAATCCGGGGTTACATATTTTTGCATAGTTTATTTCGAGCTTTTATGTAATGTACTGACCCAAAAACTGCGTATGGAAATGATGAATATTAACCTCGATGATTTTGACTTTTATAAAAAAAATTGAATGTAAGGTCCTAGTTTCGATTTGGACGGTAAAAATTGTTTATGATTTCCGTTCAAATTGTGTTTCCTAAATCGAATTAGTGCTGCAGCCAAATTACACTAATGATGGGATAATTATTATTTATTGTTTTTAAACTAAATTGTTGCTATAATAAGCTTGCATAATATTTGCGTAAATTACATATGATCTGCATAAGAAAATATCGTAACTAATTAATTCACTGTAGAACTGAAAAAACGTATTGAATGCTATTCCTTTCAAATGCGTGTATTTTTAAAACGTGAGATATGAACTAATAAGAAAGGAAAAACTGTTCCGACACAATTGCAATAGTGCTAAAATTATGACAGCAGCGGTAATTAAAACTTAGTTGTTTCTGATGTTTAATTTATTTACAAATGGGCAGGTTGTAACTTTTTTGCTAAAAATAAAACACTAATGTGTACCTACATATCGTGGAACATTAAAAATAATTCAGTTTTAATAATAATCAGGCTAATTAAATACATTAAAAAAGAATTGAAAATGTATGCCTCTCTGTTCAGAATTTAGTACCTTGCACTCAAAGTTAGAAACATAAAATGCGGAAAATGTTTGATATTGAAATATATTAAAACTATAATTACCATGTCAACTATTCAAATTCTGTAACAGAAATCGTTCAAATATACTACATAAAAGATAAACAATTTGAATTAACAATTTCTACGACATATATTATTACGAAAATTCTAAGCACCTATGGCTCGTACTATGTCAAAATATCAAATCAAAAAGTATTGATATTTTACATTTAGTTTTAATTTTGGAAAATAAAACAAATAAATTTAAATCAGAACAATTTGAAAAATAAATAATTTTATTTGTCATTTAGAAATGTAACTAAATGGCCGTTTTATAACAAATATACATAGAACTAGACACTTATTATGTGGCACTAAAATAAAGATTAATTTGGAAAAGTGACCAGTTTTGTTGAGAGACGATCAAATTCTTTTCTGTTTTTTTTTTTTATATACTAGAATAATAATATAAACCTTCTGTCAACGTCGGCCTAGAAATTACCTAACAGAAAATGATCTTATATTCTAAAAAATATATGGATCCTATCTATCTCTATATTGAATCTAATTAAAGCAGAAACAAATGAAGTATTTTTAATTGTTTCAGAATTATCATGAAAAACATTCGACGTCTCTGTCTTATTTGTCATAGAATAAATTTCTCTTTGGGTAGTGATGAATGATGATGAATGATTAAGAAAAAAAATGTCGTCTAGATAGCCATGGAATTTTTTTTTTCTATTATGTGGGCACAATCGTGTGCTATCACTGCTGTTCGTTTTTGAGGTTATGGAAAATTAATCGCGAAATTCTTTTTACCCATCGCATTAGAGAGCAAGGCCATTCACCGTTTTATTGTTGAACATCATTTTTGTAATAATTTTAAGTAATAAAATTGGTCTAAAGTTATTTAGAAAGAAGTCTAACAGAAAATTCCGATTTTTTTTACGAAAATTTAGATGCCAAATATGAAAATTCGAGGAGGATTCAGAAACCACAAATACAAGAGTATATTATTTTACAAAAATTAAATAGCATTTACAAAAATTTTTTAGACAATTGAGGAAAACTCACCAAATAACAAATACATTTAGAAAAACAGTTAGTCTTAAACAAAAATTTTTCAAAATCCTCACGTAATAAAAAAACATTTTAAACAGTTTTGGAGCATAAAAATGCATGAACTATAGGGGTGAGAGTGCAAGAAAAAAATCCTTTTTGGACTAATGAACGACCTTTACTTAATTTAATAATAACAGAATAAAAATAAAATTCATCTTCATTCATGATCAAGTAAAAAAATAGGAAATAATTAAATCTAAATATGGAAACTGTTACAGCAACGTATATATTTTTTAAGTTATTTAACCCAAACTACTGTATTTCATTGGTTCTTCTTGTCTGTCATTCTATATTTTGGTGTGTGTGCTACAGGAATGAAAAATTGTACAACGAAAGTATACTTTAAATATATACATACAATTCTTAACAATTTTTTTTTGCGAAAATGTTGATCCCTAGAATAAAGCGGATTATTAAACCACAAGTACCTACAGGACTACGTTATTTTATAAAATCTAAATAGCGTTTACCACGCAAAATTTTGAGGTTACGCCATCAAATTGTTTGTGGGTATGATCAGACAAATTTTGGTTAGCGCTTTACTATCTACACGATATTCCTAACATACAGATAAAATTTGACAACCATTGATCTGGTAGTTTCGGAAATTATTTGTCTAGTAAAAATTAACACAGGCAGACGGAAACGGGCGACCTATTTCATCGTACTGTAAAGATCTCGAAACGTCGACAAAACAATTAAGCAGCCATTCGTCGGTTGGACCCTACTTACTGTTTTAGCTTTCCCTCGGGAAGTAAAAATTTGTTGTTGTTTCAAATATTTTTGCTTCCCGAGCGAAAGCAAGGAAGTATTGTAATCGAGTCCGTCGACCAACTCTTTACTTTTACGTTTTCTCGACTTTTCATGACGCCTACAATACAAAGAAATAGGTCTCCCGTTTCCGTCTGTCTGTCCGTCTGTCCGTCTGTCCGTCTGTCTGCCGTCCTAATTTTTATTAGACCGATAATCTCCGAAAGTATTGGGACGATTGTTGACAAATTTTGTATTTGTCAAATTTTGTATTTGACAACAATCGTAGGTGGTAAAACGCTAACCAAAATTTGTCTAATCATCGCCACGAATAATGTGATGGCGTCACTTCAAAATTGTATATGGTAAATGGGGTTTAAATTGTATAAAATAACATAGTCCTACACATGTAGTTTATGACTCCGTGTTGAGTTTTTACCCGAAACGTCCACATTTTTTGAAAAAAATCAGAATTATAAAACAACACTTTGCAATTTAATTTTGAATCTGCTAAACTGAATGCTTTGAAATCTTGCAGATGTTTTAAACTTGTGGTAAGCATGATACATTTTTAATCATTGTATATTTGCTTATCCCCTCCAAAAAATTGATGACGTCATCTCAAAATTTTGCCGGCTAAATCCTACCTAAAATGTGTAAAATATGATCAGTCTATACTTGCTTAAACAGGGTAACAAACGTATTTGCTCATTCCCCCTAAAAAATTGATGACGTCACCTCAAAATATTGCTGAATATATCCTATCTTCAATGTACAAAATATGATGACTATACTTGTGATTAATTTTTAATATATAATTAATATTTTTTAAATTTGCTTATATAGGCGTCTCAGAAAAATTAATAACTGAGTTGTGAAAAAATAAATAGGAGTAGTGAATAAGATTTAGGAGTTTAACTCGTTACTATGGAAAAATGCAATTTAACACCTTTCAAAAAAATCAATCTGATCTTAACAACTGCTAGCCCCACCCACCCGCCCCTTACTTTCTCAGGGTTTATGTCATTTGCCAAAATACGTTTTACCTTGGCAAGTACTAGCCCCGCCCACCCGCCAGCTAGTTTCTTAAAGGGTATGGCATTTGCCAAAATCAGTCTTATCTTAGCAAGTACTAGCCCCGCCCACCCGCCCTCTATTTTCTCAGAGGGTAAAGCGTTTGCCAAAATCAGTCTTATTATATGACCAAGCACTAGCCCCGCCCACCCAGCTCTGTTTTCTCAGAGGATGTCATTTGCCAAAATAAAACTTATCTTAGCAAGAAGTAGCAAGTACTACCCTCTGAGAAAATAAAGGGCGGGTGGGCGTTACTAGTACTTGCCAACATAAGTCTTATTTTCACAAATGACATATCCTCTGAGAAAATAGAGGGGGGGGGGCGGGGCTAGTATTTGTTAAGATAAAACTGATTTTGCCCCTATTGATCTTGTAAAAACTGAAATTTAAAGGTGTTCAATTGTAAATTTTCATGGTTACGAGCTAAATTCTTAAGTCTACCAGAAATGTGCAAAATATAATGAGTTTTTACTTGTGATTTATCATTGTATTCATATTTTTTAGATTTGCTTATACAGGTGGCTCAAAAAATTAATGAATTTGTCAATTTATTTTATTGATTAAATCAGGAACGGCTCACTCCATTTTCCCAGAAAATTTTGAGAATACAATACTGTTATTTTTAGTATTATAGAGCACCAATCCAAGATGATTCACGTGTCCTTGTAAAAATGTTGATGACGTCATCACAAAATTCTGTAAAGTAAAA